TTCGAAATTATAAAACCTTTTTTCGACAACACAACAAAATTGGACTTTTTTTACTTAGATCTGATACATATTAAGTGGCTGTAAAATAGATGCAGAGAACAAAAGATTAGTATAACAGAATTGGGAATAGGTAATTAATGTGCTTGCAAAAATAACATGAGACAATCCCCTAACCTTCTTCAGTTCCTTCACTCTTTCTTCCTCCCTATCTCGTTTTGCTGTCACTGCACCTTATCCCACTTTCCGTGTAGCCAATCCTGAATTTTCCCTTTCTTCATGCAAGGCAAAAAGAAAGAGGAAATAAGAAATTAAGAAGAAATAAAGAAGAGTGCCAATTAGTATTGCTCGTATTGTAACCTACAAGGTTACAACTACGACTAACCACCATATATAAGCGGCAATGCGCTGCCCAACAGAGATGTTCCTTGCCGGCATGTTGACCAGCTCAGTCCTTGAAATTAGTCTCCTTCCGCATTTACAACCCAAACTTGGTTGAGATTGCCGCATCTCCTAAGTCCTAAGACGTGTGTGTGTAAGGATCCACCGCCAAAGTGAACACCTGAAAAGATATGGCCGATAGGGAAACAAAATCAGTATGAGAGGCCTTTCATCATGGAGAACTTGAAAAATTATTATATGGCAATGAATCAGAGGCAAAAGTTTTGCATCAGAAAAAGAATACTTACATATATATACATATACAAAATAGTGTCTCACTGAACAGCAGAGCCAAATCTCGTGGGCATTTCATCGAGCATGTGGTGCGCTGGCTGTCGCTAGCAGCTGCAAGGGCGCTGCATAGGTACTAGTGAGGGAGCACAAGGGGACCGGAAGCTGCAGCAGCGCCATCACCGGGTTGGCTTCTTCCTCGCGGTGGCGACGCCACCTTCTCCATAATAATGGTCACTTGCCCGACTCCATTTGAGGATGAGCAGAGGAGGCGAGGCGAGATCAAGCACCACCTCGCCCGGGCGAGTGTGACCAGAGAGGAGGGAGGCGGAGGGCTCCCACGCCAGTGCCGTGCTTCGTCGATGGGGAATAGCCATGCCGTGCTTTGCATCGCTGTCGGGTGGTTGCGGTCGTCGATCGCGTCGCCTCGCCGCGTCGCAGCTGGGCTCTCTATCTCCATCGCCGCCACACCGCACGTCTGTAATTGTTGGTCGCGCGCAATCGCCGGAGGGCGGAGAGGAGGAGGGGCGTTAGAAGCGGTCGGTGGCGGAGGCGCGGAGCGAGAGGGAGTCGTGGGGAGAGGCGCGGCTGCTAGCGGCGCGAGGCGGAGCCGCGGAGGCGACAAGTTTTTGGGTTCGCGAGTCTTCGTGAGGTTTCGGATCCATATATGAAGCCGGCAGGACCCGAACCGATCTGCATCGAACGGTCCTTATCGCGAGCTGCCTTGATCCAACGGTTGCGGGATAACGGGCGACGTGGCCCTATTGGACGCCCGCGGTTTGGTAGCAGGATTCCATGAGGTTTCGGATCCATATATGAAGCCGGCAGGACCCGAACCGATCTGCATCGAACGGTCCTTATCGCGAGCTGCCTTGATCCAACGGTTGCGGGATAACGGGCGACGTGGCCCTATTGGACGCCCGCGGTTTGGTAGCAGGAGATCCTATTAAGAGATGTGAAGGAAGAAAAGCCTAGTGAATGAAGGTCATTAATTAAGTGAAAAGCGGGTGCTTAAATTAGATCAATAGAGCACACTATATTGTGTGCGTGCTATTTCGCTATACAAGGAGAATAGTAAAATGATGTATTGTTAGGACAATCTCAACTCAAAAATTATGATATAGTTTTCATACTCAAGTTACGTCGCATTGCACAAAAAAAATATATACTCCAATGTATGGTTTGAATAGTTTTTTTTATCAATATCACTATCAAAATGGTAAAGTTCTCCTAGTGTTTTTAAATATTAATAAAACGCTACCACTAGTCATAGCACATGAGAATTCTCACTATAAGATATTTGGTAGGAAAAGTTTATACTACATGTTGAATGCTAAAACACTAGAAGAATCCCACATCATTAAAAGAAATTAAAAAAAAAATCTGGTTGTATATATCTTGAATCATTTTTGTAAGCATGTACCGATGCAAAGACTAGAGTCCATTCTTGTGTGAGTGCAAGGTTTGATTGTTTCCATTGCTGAAGAGTGGAATCATGAGATGCCATGTTGGCTCGAGTCAGCTAATGGAGATGGCCATATGCCTCCCTTGGTGGATGACAAAACTAAATTCACCGGTATATATTAGCTTTCAGTTGATTTACAACTTTGTCTGCAACCCTACAAACCCTTTAAGGTTTGTGTAGGCTCTGCTCAATCTCCGGGTTCGTCACTATAGCTATTTTTTTTCTCGATCATGCAAAAGGTTTACGCGTCTTTGTATTAAGGTAGAGAAACAGTTCAATACAACACGCCTTCGGACGCCTAGGGGGTCAGTAAAGATTTACATGAAAGCTCACTCTCTCTAGTGTACTACTAGCTAGCAGTCTGTTCGTTTGGCTGTGGCTTGTCATAAACGATCGTAAATTTTTAGCCGGAACAGTTTTTTTCTCTCACACAAACCAGCCAGCAGTACTTCTTTACGAACCAGCAACGAAACGAACCAGCCAACCGAACAGACCGTAGATTGTTACATGAGACAGAGATCGACCCAAATTTTTTGTATTATAGCTAATTTTTATTACTAATGGATCTAAATGCGCTATGCTCTAAAACCCTGGGTGCTATGCATTGCTGCAGCCGATCGAGCTGTATGATCCAGCGTGCAATTCTTTTTAATGCTAAGAAAATCCAAGGACAGCAAAGCGCGTAACGGGGATGGTTGACTGCAGCATGCTGTACGGCTAGCATGTACGGCGGTGTACAGAATTGCACGCTGTCCTTGGATTGCAGAATCGGATCTGCCTTCCGACGCCTTGCCAGCTGGCCTTGTCTCGCTTTTTGACTCCTGAGTCCTGGCCGGCCGTCCATCTCAGTATGGGCCATTTTTAAATTCATTATTTATTGGTACAAGACTTTGCGAGCGTCTTTTCGATTGGTATTAAAGTCGACTGATAAGCCGGCTGAAGCTTTTTTTTTTATGAGAGAAAAATACTGTAGATTCTAGCTGATAAGCCGGCTGATAAGTTCAAACGAACCGGCCTTATTTGTACAGGAGTGTTTTTTTCTACTCCATTTCTAATATTCTGTCATTACATATGCTCTTTCTTCGTATATATACAGCAACTTTTATTCTACAGTGATTATTACTTTCTCTAGAATACAAACGTCTATATATACTTCATCTATTTTAAATTATAAATTGTTTTAACTTTTTAGATACGTAGCATTTTACTATGTATTTAGACATAATATATATCTAGAAAAAACTAGAATGACTTATAATTTAAATAATTTAAAGTGCTAGAATACTCGAGAACGTAACGTGTGCGTCAGTCAGTTACTTTGCGTCTGAGAAGTCGCTGTCCAGTTGTGATGGGCAAAAGTTAAATTAGCAATGGGCTAAAGTGTTGAGCTGGATCCTTTTAAAAAGGGAATTAGAAAGCTAGGCCTCATGATATTTCAGCTCAAGATTGCCCTGTCAAGGAGTTGGTCATGGAGAGCTGGCTGGAGCAGACTTGTGGACACCTTTTTAATCAGCTTATTATTGTTTTCCCGTGCTAACATTTGGCAAAGGGTTAATGGCTCTCTTCATGAGATTCAACTGCATGCCAACCGAAAGCGACCCCTCTGGTCATTTCCTAATGTCTCTTGCATTGCACCATGCAATGTGTCGGCAAAATAATGCTTCTGCGAGTTTGACTTGGTGTATATATTTTTTTGCCATAAAATACCCAAAACAAAAATCGAGACACGATGCTACGCACAAATTGTCAGGTTCTATACAGGTATTTATTTGGACCGAAAATGTACCAGCAAGGTGAAGCAAATGCTAATGTATATCGCCCTGAAATAATGTAGAGACGACTACAGTAGAAACATCCATCATTTTCTTTATTATCTACAAGTAAGCAAGCAATAGGATTCATTCACTTGAACCCTTTTTAGTTTTTAGAGAGGAGGAACAAACAGGGCAAAAAAAAAAAAAAGACAGAATAGACCGGCCATCTGTTGCCAGCACACTCTTGATCCCCTTTTCAATTCTTTCAGAACGCATTCTTCAAGGCAAGGAGGACCAGCGTGAAAGCTCCTTGTATCAGACAATAACCTGTGTGTTAACCTGTTGTTATGTAGTATTATTTTTATAACTCATCAAATCTGTCAGTGACAGACTTTTGATCAGGGAACTAGCTAGGATAGGACACCGCAAGTTTTGTTTGTTATTTATAGAGTGCAGGGGCTTTTGGGCTAGCTCCTGCCACCTGCCTTCCCCGTATGGCCACCGCCCCATTTAGATTCTGTTCCTCCTAAATCTCCTCTCCATTGGCCGGCCCCTATGCTTCACAAAATAGCTTTCTGCCTCACAGCAAGCCTGTCTGTCTCACAATCAAGGAGCCTGCCTCTGAGGTGGTTGCAATTTGCTTGGCACGAGGATTTGGATTTTGGAGGCAAGGTCTGTTTCTTGATTTCTTGGTTTATATATGTTTGTACCATTTAGTTTTCTAGATAGATAATAGGTCCTTCAGATTTTACGAGGAAGAAACAAAGTTTGAAGGAGATGGAGGATGTTCTTGTTGAGTTGCATGGCGTATTTCCCTTCCTTGATTGTTCTCTACTCCTTGCATCCTGACCTGCAATCTGTTCCTGAACATGGGAAATTGTTTGCAAAGAGCAGTATGAACCCAACCCCAAAAAGGATTCAAATGTGTTCTTCTGAAACAGTTCTTGCCCATTCACAAAACTTGAACTTGGTGTCCATTCTTTCTTGGCACATGCAGATTGGCTGAGACGGACCGCAGATTGTGAGATCCAACAACCGAATCCAATCAGAGAAAAAGGAAAGACGGCGAAAGGCCTTTGTGTGTGTGGCACCACATCTTGGCATCAGGGGAAATGGGGTTGTCAATCTCATACCCACCGGACGACTACCTGCCAGCAGTGGAGGACAACATGGGCCGGCTCTTCATCCGGTCTCTCAGCTTCGACGACATGGAGGCCACCGCTGAGTCACCTTTGTCTTCGCCTTCGACTTCGCCTTCGGCATTGCCCCCCGCCTTTGGCTCCGGGAAGCTCATCATAGAAGGCTCCCTGAGCTTCAAAAGGAGAGAGGCTGACAGCATTCAGATGCAGAATGTGTTGTCCATCAGGAGTCCTAAACCTCCTGATAGAGAAGCTTGCAACATCATCAGTGCTGGTGCTGCTACTTCTGGGTCATCAAGATTCGGGCCAATCGGGGACCGTCCACCAGATTATGATTACCCCATGGTCGGAATGGACAGCCCCAAGCACCAGGCCGCGGCCGTCAGGCTGCAGAAGGTGTACAAGAGCTTCAGGACAAGGCGGCAGCTTGCGGATTGTGCTGTTCTTGTGGAACAACGATGGTAGGACACTGCCTTGTTCTATGCTATTTATTGGGTTGGGTGTGCTTGTTCTTGTTATCAAGCCATCAAGGTGGTGCTTTTCTGAATTTTATTTATGATGATCCTATATAAAATGCAGGTGGAAGTTGCTTGATTTTGCACTGCTCAAGCGGAATTCGGTGTCATTCTTTGACATAGAGAAGCCTGAGACTGCTGTCTCAAAATGGTCCCGGGCAAGAATGAGGGCTGCCAAGGTACCAATTGTATTCTTCTGTTCAGATATACCATCATAACTTCAGCAATCAGCATTATGAATTTTGTACAGTGCAATACCAACTTTGTATCAGCAGTCTTTCTTTTCTTGTAATATACTGCATTCCTGACAGAGGTGTAGTGTTGCTGTCGCATTTAGGTTGGCAAAGGTCTCTCCAAGGATGAAAAGGCCCAGAAACTTGCCCTGCAGCACTGGCTCGAGGCGGTATGTTATGTACCAAGAACATAAATGTCTCGATAAATATAATGCTGGTCAGATTATGCTCTGAGCAATCAAAAACTGCATTTTGATCCATTTCTGATTGTCAGATTGACCCTCGACATCGGTATGGCCACAACCTGCACTTCTACTACCACCGCTGGCTCCACTGCCAGAGCAAGCAGCCATTCTTCTATTGGTACACACACACACACACACACACACAGCAAAAGTCATGTGTCTGAACCAATGAACAACATATAGTTACTGATCGAGTACTGACGGTTCTGTAATTCTTTGGACAGGTTGGATGTAGGAGAAGGGAAAGATGTCAACTTAGAGGAACATTGCCCTAGATCGAAGTTGCACAAGCAATGTATCAAGTACCTTGGCCCTGTAAGTTCCACTGTTTGTTCCTCCTCTGATTCAAAGTGAAAAAAAGAAACATTCAGGCAGTAGAACCTGCTAGGTTGCATATGTCATATTATCACATTAACCAAATATGTCGTCTCATGCTCGTGCAGAAAGAAAGGGAAAATTATGAAGTGATAGTCGAGGATAAGAGGCTGATGTACAAGCTGAGCCGTCAGATAGTCGACACAACCGGAAGCGCCAAGGGGACCAAGTGGATCTTCGTGCTCAGTACATGCAAGACTCTTTACATAGGCCAGGTGAATGATGATTCCTTGACAAGTTCGGATGGAATTCTTTTGAACACCGAGAGCAATTCAGTGACTGAAGTGAGACCGAAACTTTGACATGTTTGCAGAAGCAGAAGGGCGTATTCCAGCACTCAAGCTTCCTTGCAGGGGGAGCCACATCTGCTGCAGGAAGACTGGTTGTGGAGGATGGAATTCTCAAGGTGTGGCATAGAAATTTGTACTGTGGGATTCATTCATCCCAACATTACTGTTTTTTCTCTCCTGCTCAAGTTAGAGATGTGTTCATTTCAGGCTGTGTGGCCTCACAGTGGGCATTATCGGCCGACAGAGCAGAACTTTCAGGAGTTCATGAACTTCCTCAAGGAGAGGAGTGTGGATCTTACCAATGTGATGGTAAGAAGCCTAATATATTGTGAATCCTATGTAAGTAGATTAGCTAATGATCCCAGACGCTTCAGCTGATACTGGTATTCTGCTGGCATTTCGGTTTTGGTACAGTTGAGCCCATCAGAAGGTGAAGAAGACGGCGATTTCAGCCTCAGGGGCAGCCACTCTCAGCTGGACCTGACCCAACTCTGCCAGCAAGAAGAGGAGAGCCAAGAACAGGAGGCGCAATCTGCGCAACGCCATGGCAAAGACGAAGCCGAAGCCGAGACCTGCAGCCACGAACCCACCGTGCCAACATCTACAGAGACCTGCAGCACGCCGACGACGACGATCAGGAAGACCTCCTCAGACAACAGGCTGCAAGGGAAGCGGCCGCCCAGGCTGTTGATCAGCTCCAACAACATAGCACCGCTGCCGCCCGCCACGCACAGCAGCAACGCCAGGCCGTCGCCCGGCGTGAAGGACGTGGACCCGGACTCCGCCATGCTGGGCGAGTGCCTCGACTTCTGCAAGCGGAACCTGTTCGCGGAGGACGGGTACGAGGACCACTACCTGGACGACCTCGCGGAGGTACCGGAGGCGCTGATCCTGAGCCGCATCAACTCCAAGCGGGCCATGCACTCGTACCAGCTCGGGAAGCAGCTGCACTTCCACTGGAGCACCGGCGCCGGGCCCCGGATCGGCTGCGTCCGCGACTACCCGTCCGAGCTCCAGTTCCGGGCGCTGGAGGAGGTCAGCCTGTCGCCCCGCGGCGGTGGCTGCAGGCCGGCGAGGTTCCCGTCGCCCAGGCCGGGCGCGCTCACGCCCAACAGCATCCCTGCGGCCAAGTGTGGCTCTCTTATGGCGGACGGCGACGGCGTGCGCGCGTCGCTCAAGCCCAGGCAGAGGAGTGCAACTTGGACCGCGTTTTGACTTTTGAGATAGCATGCATGCTTCCTTCAGTTTTTTCTTGCTTCTTCACTTTCACGGCAGAATGATGGTGATGCTGACTGTGCATACTTAACTGAGGGAAATGTGAGATAGCATACTCCTTCACGTAGACGAGGATAGAAGGATCAGCATTAACATTTGGCAAACACTGGGTAATGCCGTTGTAATGGTACTGATAGGTTGATGGGCAAGCTCTTGCTGTTTTATAAGTGCATGGAAAGAGCAAATATGAGGTATCACTTCAGTGAAACCATTCTCAGATTGCACATAAATCAAAAGCAAATCATGTTAACCAACTGAATGAAAAAAAGGATTTGTTTTGACAGTGAAGCAACAATCATGCAGCTAGTCCATTCCAGGGCATAACCAAACAAAATATTTGGATTTGTTGTGACAGTGAAACACATCAATTTGGCTCATGTTGGCAATGGAGCAAGCATTCAAACAACTCATGTAACTAGTTACCCAATGTGACAGCATATCCTAATTCAGATACAAATGTACCAAAACTGTAACCAGATGAGTACTCACACTACATTTCCATTGCTCTTAACCATACTTCTTAGCCAAATCAAAGATAAAGCAGTGTCGGATAACTTGATAAGCAGTACACAACCAAGGCCGTTTACATTTTAAAGACAGCAACTGCAGAGGACAGACAGCCAACAGCAGCCTCATGAGACTTCGCTATTTTAGGCCCCTTCGTCTTCTTAATAAAAAGGTTTTAGGCTGAATGTAAACAATTCTATTCCTCTCGAAAGAATCAAAAGGAATTTGCCCCCCATAAAAAAGGAAAACTGAAATTGTCCGCTCAAAAGAAAATATAATAGTATTGTTCTTATTTTGTTATTTTTTTCTTCGTGCAAGGGGTAGAAAAAACAACAACATAGCCTTTCAGTCCTAAGCAAGTAGGAGTAGGCTAGAGTTGAAACCCACCCAAAGCCCCAAGTCACGGTTCAGACACTTCAATAACTGCTTTCCCAGCACTCTTATTCAAACATAGATATCTACGTATATCCTAAGCTTTCAAATATCTTTTTATTGCCTCCCCTATGTTAATTTCAGTATTCCTCTACCTCTCATCATATTATTAGCTTATCTTAGAACTCCATAATGCACTGGTGTCTCTAGAGGTCCATTGGACATGGCCAAACCACCTCAACCGATGTTGAACAAGCTTTTCTTCAATTTGTGCTACCCCCAAGCGATCACGTATATCATTGTTCCGAATTCGGTCCATTCTTGTGTGACCATAAATCCATCGCAACATACGTATTTTTATAACACTCAGTTGTTGAACATATCGAATCTTTGTAGGTCAACATTCTGCTCCATACAACATAGTCGATTTAATCGCCGTTCTATAAAACTTACCTTTTAGCTTTTGTGATACTCTCTTGTCACAGAGAATGCCAGAAGCTTGTCGCCACTTGACCCACCCTGCTTTGATTCTATGGCTAACGTCCGCATCAATATCTCCATTCCTCTATAGCATCGATCCCAGATACCGAAAGATATCATTCTTAGACACTACTTGATCTTCTAAACTCACATGTCCCTCCTGTGCAGCTCCGCCAAAGTCGCATCTCATGTATTTGGTTTTAGTTTCGCTCAATCTAAAACTTTTAGACTCAAGGGTCTGCCACCATAACTCTAGTTTCCTATTTACTTCCGCTTGTCTTTCGTCCACTAACACTATATCATCAGCGAACAATATACACCAAGTGATATCCCCTTGTATGTTCCTGGTAACCTCATCCATTAACAAGGCAAAGAGATACGGGGTTAAGGCTGACCCTTGATAAAGTCTAATTTTAATCGGGGAGTAATCTGTGTTACCATCGTTTGTTCGAACACTAGTCACAATATTATTGTACATGTCCTTGACGAGGGTCACGTACTTTGATGGAGCTTTATGTTTGTCCAAAGCCCACCACATAATATTTTTTTAGTATCTTGTCATAAGCCTTCTCCAAGTCAATGAAAACCATGTGGAGGTCCTTCTTCTGCTCTCTAAACCGCTCTATAATTTGTCTTATTAAGAAGATTGCTTGTGTGGTCAACCTTCCGGGCATAAAACCAAATTGATTTATTGATATCCGCGTCGTTCCTCGCAAGCGTTGCTCGATGACTCTCTCCCATAGCTTCATAGTGTCTCATCAACTTAATTTCCTGATAATTAATACAACTTTGAATATCTCCCTTGTTTTTGTAGATTGGTATCAATATGCTTCTTCTCCACTCCTCAGACATCTTGTTCGATCGAAATATATTGTTGAACATCTTGATTGGCCATACTATAGCTATATCCCCAATACATTTCTACACCTTGATTGCGATACCATCAGGTCCCATCGCTTTGCCCCCTTTCATCATTTTCAAGGCTCTCTGGCCTCAGTTGGCAAAAAAAAAAGTTACAAAACAAATATTATGCTTGATCTTACAAGATTAAGCAAATACTTAACTTATCACCAAAAATAAGGTTGACTTAAATTCATATCAATGAAGTTCAACAGTTGCAATGTACAATAATACTGTTGACACTTCTCAAGACACCCCAAGTTGAACAAAAACCAAAAACCAAATACACCTTACACTACTTGATCTATCTTTAGTGGCTAACTAAACGGGCTATGCAAACAAGGGTGTTGATCAACTAGGGGTAAGAAAATATGCTCGACGACCAGCCATGGAATCAGTAACTATCCGTATCCGAATTCCAGGTGTGAAGGGATACAAATTGCATGGTCAGGACTGATTCTCCGTGTCAGGATCCAGATTCAAACAATCTGTCGGCCGTGCAGGAGATAAACCGCCCTGCAAAAGACCAAGTTCAGTCAACCAGCATAATGTGTTGTATTTTAAAGTTATCACTTATCATGTAAGGAAGATGCTTGGGGGCTTTGGGCTTATAGTAGTTTTTGGATCTGATGAACAACAAATCTCTTTTGGAAAAGTACAATTTAAGAGCAACTTTTGGAAAAGACAGCTTTAGGTGGTTGTTTCGCTGACATGAACACTGCTACTCACGCCCTAGCCAAGCAGCAGTCCGCCATGCACCTCCCCTGCTCCCCATGTCTCAGTGAAGCAGCACCACTAATTGAGCGGGCCACCAGCAATATGGCTAAAGCAGTCGTCAGCCTTCAGGAAGAAACAAAAGTAACCAGTTGTAATCGTTTTTCACAAAGTGCACAACTGTTTTTTTTTTTTTTTGGGGGGCACAGGTTTTCTTTAAATGAGAGTTTCCAAACAACGTTTTTCAGGTAGTTAGGTTAAAATCTGTTTTAGGAATTTTGGCTTCCACAAAACCTGTGCTTCAAACAACCCCGCAGTGTAAGGAGCGTAAGATTTCATACCATGTCAATGTCTCCTTTGGGTTCAAGAAGGCTGTCGCCTGTTTCTGTATTCGCAGATACTAGCTCCGGAGATGGCAAGGCACCAGACTACAAGCATGAAGAGAACTCAGTATATGATCACAGAACTATGGAAAATTGATTTTCTTACCCATGCTAGACTAGACAAACAATGAAGTAATAGGCGACTTACCTTGAAGTGCACTGGGCTTTGTACTTGCATGCTACCTGGATCAATTTCCAACTGGTGGTCTACATTTTGTGTGGTGGCTGTAGAAAATATAGAAATAGATAGTTGACAATTTGACACACAAGGCCCAAAGTAGAAATCAGAAACGTAAAGTGGAAGTAAATTGTCTATGTTAACATTTGGTCCAACAATGATATGCCAAGTGCAAAACTGGATATGAAGCTGGATAACTTCGATAGTCTATAGTGGAACTTGAACAAACAAAGATGGCACAATAGCCATTTTGGTTCTTCAACTATTAGTCGAGGCTCAATTTCATCCCTAAACTTTCAAAACGGCCGTTTAGGTCCTCAAACTTTAGTTTTAGGCTCAATTTCATCCTACAACTATGAAGATGATCGTTTCAGTCCTTAAATTTTGCATTTTGGGCTCAATTTCATCCATAAATTATCAAAGTGCATTTAACTTTTATTTTCAACTCAATTTTGTCTATTCAAAAAGAAAACTTTATATTTTAGGCACAATTTCATCCATAAATTATCAAAATTATAGATCTGCTATTATTTTCCATGTATTCTTAAAGAATAAATAGTGTTCGATGCAACTGTTATTAATAATAATGGTACCATTTACATAGATCTGCTAGTGGTGTTGGAGCTAACCAGGTGCAACAGTGCAGCGTTCCACATAGAACGTAGACAAAGGTGAGTTGAAAATAAAAGTTTAAAGAACAAAATACACTTTGATAGGTTATAAATGAAATTGAGCCCAAAATGCAAAGTTTGAGGACTAAAACAATCATCTTCATAGTTCTAGGATGAAATTGAGCCTAAAAGTAGAGTTTGAGGACTAAAACAGCCGTTTTGAAAGTTCATGGACCAAACTGAGCCTCGAGTAATAGTTGAGGGATCAAAAAGGCTATTCTGCCAAGAAAGATTATTAAGAGTTTTGGACCAAGAGTGTGACTGCAGAGTAAATATAAATTATGACAATGACGTCCAGTTCTCGTACGGACGGATTGAAACCAAGCTCTTAAAAGAGGAAAAGGGGGACTTACCTTCTTTGACAACTGCACTTACCGAGGTATGCTCATTTGCTAGACCACATTGCGAACCTGGAATCCTAATGGTTTCACCACGCACAACATAGAGCATGTTCAGATTTTTTTTTCAATTTGTTGACCGGAACAATAAATGTTCAATGAATCACTCACCTTTCAAGCTGCTCATTATTCACATCCTGTATGCCCGGACTTTCAGAAATTGCTGAAAAACTCTTCATTCCCTAGTACACAATTAGTTCAAGAAGAAATAGTATTTAGCTATAGACATGATGAAGAAATTATAATATAATGCAAGACTCAAAATTTGAACAGTAAATCTTTTTACTACAATATTTGCATCTTACCTCATTCCCAATACTACTGAATAAATCTTGAAATTTCTGTAAAGCAATTTCCATATTATGAAGTTCCAAACGCATTGCCTGCAAAAAAAAAAAAAACATTCAGTTTGGATCTTCAAGGCAACTGGCAAGTTGAAATATTGGTAACAGAATCACCTGATTCTCTGAAGTTAATCTCTCAATAATCTCATCCTTCACCAACAAAGTTTTCTTAAGGTAACGTCATTAAGGTAGAAAACAACCCACGTGATTTTGATATTGGAAAAAAAACTTATGCAATTTATTGACTTAGTTAATGGATATTTCTTCCAGATCGGACTGAAAACCGTTGTTAAGCTTCTCAGCCTCAAGGCGATTTTTTAACTCATATATGATCCTTGCCCTACTACGGAGTTCAAGCTGGTATGCACTGATTTTGCTTTCCAGGAAATTAAGTTTCTCTGCATAAATGGAACATGAGAGTTACTGCATAATAGAAGATAAAAAGAAATCATGCATATACAGTAGCCATGATCCCCATATAGAAAACACAATCTCATCAAGCAAGACACAAGATGAGGAAATACCTACAAAATCTTTCTCAAGCACAGAAATCCTTTGGACTTTATCCTTCAAGTCAGCAACTGAAATAACAATGCAAGTGAAGGTAAGGAAAGATAATAACCAGAGAAGCAGTGACACATAATAATCAAAATTAAGTTGAGCAATCAGATAGCTGGAGAATCCAAGTGTCAAGAGTGATCATAGCCATACCTACATTTTCCTTCTCACCAACCAGACAATGCACATCACCTAGTACTTGTTGCATGGCAGCAACTTCCTTTTCTACCGAACTAAACAAAACAAGATGTGAATTCAATTTCTCCGAAATTACAGCAATCTGTTTGTCCTTCATCTGGATTGTCCATTGCATAGAACAAGTAGAGTCCTGCCTATGAACATGGTATATGAGCCAAATGTCAGTTTGTTTCCACGCACATGTTGATTCAGAACCTAAGCTAAAATCTCTGAAAAAACGAAATTAAATAATGCGAATTCCATGATAATAAACAATGTCCGCTTTTCGTCAAATTTTGACCAATAAATGTTTCTACAACACCTATAGTTGGCAATTGCCATTGTACAAAAAAACAAATTGAAGCTGTTATCAAAGATGCAGGCATGTCTGGTTCTCTTGCCTAGCAACTTAGCAAGGTCAGAGAACAAGCAAGCTTGTTCGATCCCTTTGCTTGGTTTGAATTGGGGAAAGGTAGGTGAATACTCCCTCCGTTCCAAATTATAAGATGTTTTGACTTTTCCAGATACATTGATTTTACTATGTATCTAGACATAGTGTAAATCTAGGTGCATATCAAAAGCTACATACCTAGGAAAACCAAAACGTCTTATAATTTGGAATGGAAGGGGTAGTTTATATACAGAAAGAGAGCGTGCAAATAAACAGTGGCCCAAAATAAGCGGGCAAACAAAAAGGGAAGCTACCTGCCTCATAGTGTTTTATGAAAGCCTCCCTTGATTGAAGCAGCACCTCCATGCTTTCTTTCAAGTTGTTTTCGTTTTTCTCCAGCAGCTCATTCTCATTCTCAAGGCACTTTATCTGTACAGAAGCGCAATAATTGGAATTACCAACTAGGAGGCCAATAGATCAAAGGCATCGGCAACTAGATTTATCCATATGGTATGACGACACTGACTTGTAAGCAATGGCACACATGATGGATACTGTCCAGAATCATGACCTAACGAGGAACACATATCATTGGAAGGACCCCGGAGATAGAGACAAAATGGGCACCATAACCTAACGAGGAACAGATCTCCAACAGACAACCATAATATCGTATCAAACCAGAAGCCGCGGCCCAGTAAACCAAGTGCGAGTTCACTGCAGGCCTCCAGCAGCTTCACAGATGAACTCAGTCACGATCCAACAACGAGGCCCCCAAGCGGTAAGGACAAAAACTGGAGAGAAATGGTGAGGGAGGACGAACCCTGGCCTCGAGCCTCCGTATCGAGTCGTCCCGCGCGGCCACCTCCGCGCGCAGCTCCCGGGCCTCCCTACGGTGCTCCTCCGCCGCCGCCTCCCACCTCTGCGCTAGATTGCCAGAACACACAAACCTTCATCAGTGGACCCTATAATAAACACCGAGAGAAGCCCTCACCTGGCCGGCGTCGCGGAGCTCCTCACGGGCGCCGCGCTCCCGCTCCTGCGAACGGGAAATGGGGTGCGATTGTTAGTGCGCGGGTCTGGAAGAGTCTAGAAGGCCAGGCGGGGTGGGCGGTTGGCTAACGCGGAGAAGGCGGAACTCGGAGACGAGGGCGAGGAGCTGCAGCTGCAGCTGCGACAGCATCGCCGCCTCGGGCTCCATTGGCGCCGCTCAGGGTAGTCGCCGGGTCCCCGGCTCCAGATGATCTCCGCTCGGCTCTGGCAGCGCTGATGCCCACGAAGTTTAGGCCCACTTAAACGCTGGGCTGGACCGTTCAAAAAGCAGGCACGATGGCCCCGTGCTGAAGCAATTGCAAGCCCTGTGGGCCCGGGTTATTCGGCACAAAGTTAAATTATATATATATATATATATATATATATATATATATATATATATATATATATATATATATATATATATATATGACAACCCTACCCGGTACTAAATAGTTATTCAGTACCTACTCCCACCGCACCAGCCCCAAAGCCCACGGCCCTACGCGCGCATGAGACGATCTCGGCCGATTATTTATTTATTTTATTTATTTTTGCTGCCCGTGAGACATGCCAGGTTTCCAAAGCCAATTTTTTTTTCTGCCCGTGAGACATGTCAGGTTTCGCAAGCCGATATTTTTGGAAAAAGTGATGACCACGTCCGGTTTTTTGTGTGTTCCAATGTTGACCGGAGAAAAGATGTTACTGTTTTTTTTATGTGGACGTAGCATGATGGGAAAGAGAAAAGGACGTGGAGTTGGAGATTTTTTGGCTTATTATGATAGACTAGTCCATCACGTGCACCCGCAGAAAGGAAATAAAGGGGTTTTTTTATTCACCGGATTCACTACATAGATTGAATGGAGAGCGGAGAAATCCAAGCATTTGTTGGAGCACACGCGGAGCGGCGGGAAGGGGAGCGTGGGGGAAGCAGCGGTGGCGGCTACCGGCATGGGCCTGTCGTGCCGCTCCGTGGCCGAGGACGTCCACCGCCGTGGGGCCGCCCACCATCGAGGCCACGCGCGCTGCTACAAGCAGAAGTCGGGGGCGTCGCCGCCAGCCAGCGGCGCTGCGAGGAGAGAGGCGAACCTACGATGCGGCTTGGCGTCGGTGGCGACCACACAATGGCGGCCACCTATGGGGCCACTTCGGCGGACGTGTGGCACCGTCCAGCGCGACGATGGAGCCCATGCAGCCGGATCAAGTGGAGACGGGGAGGCCTCGCACTGGATCCGCCTGCTCGCCGCAAATCCACCGCCTCTGTTGCCGACGCGAGGTCCACGCCATGCTCCAGCATCGGATCCGCCACTGGGAGGGGCCCCGCGAGCGGCCGCTTCAGATCCACCACCGAGGTTGCTGACGTGACCTCCCCGTCGTCATCCACGCCCACCACGGAGGTCCCTCCGCTGCCAGAGCCGTCCGCCGCGTCAGGGCCTCAGCTGGCTGCCCACGCGGCCGTGGGGATGACTGGCGACGGAGGGGCCAAACCCTAGGCCGGGAGAAAGTGGCGTGGTGGTGGAGGAGGAGGAGTGTGGCCACCACCGCGCGGAGGGCCGGCCACCGCCGAGGTCGGGCGGCACCGTCGCCTCAGTCGGGCGGCGACTGGGGAGCGAGGGAGGCAGCGTACAGGCAAGAGAATGAGGACGGGCACAGCAATGAGACGGAGAGTAAATGAATGAACGAAGGCTCCAGAACACGCAGACCAGAACAGTAGATGAAATGAAATCTGGACGTCGAAGTGAAGATCCTACGGCTTTAAACGACGGTGGCGACGTGGCTAGGCTGAGAGGCGGCCAAACTCTCCTGCTTTGATATATAGAAATGCATATGATGATTTGTCAAGGTCTTGCAAAATAGATGCATAGTGTTTTGCACTTCTATGACAGAACCCCCAATTTATACAAGATCAAGTACGGCTGTCCCCGCTAACACGTTGACATGCGCATACTTTCACTTATATAAACCCGGTAGTCCGTCGAGTGTCTCGAAAAACCTCGGTAAATCAACATCACAACCAAGATCGCGTGATTAAGCAAATACACATCACATACGCAGAGTTGCAGCAGAAATAATATTACAAATGGGTTCACAAGTAATAGTACAAGTTTGGGTTTCAAAACCAATTATTGAAAACAACATAGCTTTCAAATGATTACATTAATATAAATTCCAAATACATTGCTAGCATAAGTGACGTCCTCAGATAAAAGCATATAGATGAGAAGTAAATATAGAATCACCGAGCCCACCGGCAGTTAGCCACCATCTTCAGCAGACCAAGAACTTCACCTACAACATGGTAGGATAAACCCTGAGTACTCGAATGTACTCAGCTAGACTTACCCGTCATAAACCAGAAATAAAACGACACCAAGGATTATGCAAGGCTCTCTTTAGTAGGCTAGCTGACTTGTTTGCGAAAAGCATAAGCTATCATGAAGAAACTATTTTAAGTACTTTGCATCATCTTTATTATAACCTATCCCTCTAGATAAGCACCTGTACTATAGCAATCACTTGATTAACCAATAACATCCAGTTACCAATTTAGATTTAGCATATCCCATACCATCCAGATAACCATCATTATTCCATAATAATTACTACGATGCCGTAGCTCGAGTCAAGTGCTCACTATCCAGGAGCGATGGCGATTTGAATTGATTCCTAACCAGCTGGTGATTTATTCCTCACACAAACCACGCTTCCCCCGTTAGGGTCGCTTAGATCACCAATGACACTTTCCAAGTAGCCGTGGGATAACAGTCATGGACCGCACTACCCAGGGACCGCCCGACTGTCAGGACGCACCTTGGGCTCACTCTTCGCATCCCCGTCATACCCTCTTCAGCACCAGTCTGCCAATCCGAGTTTATCCCGGCTCAAAATAGTGTCACTAGCTTCGTGGTCGAAAGGTACTTTATTTGGCCAGCTAAATGTGAGGCATGCGTTCAACATGATAAGAGGGACGAGCAATGATCGGTCCTTAATCGACACAGACGGAAACTAACAACACCCCAGAACCCTGTCTGGTTGCCTCCAACTTTTTTCGTCCGGTCTCCAATTATCCATCACACATGGTTAATTCCAGGATATCATTTTTTCCATAGCTAAATTCTTCCAGTAACCACCTATAATGTAGGTGACCGGATATCACCGATCGCTACCGGTCTAAGCAAGGCTAAGCAGTTATTCGATCCTGACCTAACAGGGTAAAAGGTAATAAGGTAGGCAAGGATAGTAATAAATGCATCAACGGTTTCAATCAACTCCTACAACTTAATGCAACAATATATAAACTCATATATATAGAAAGAATTGATTTTGTAAATTAGGAGACTTAGAATGCTCCGGGGCTTGACTGGGATCCGACACAAGTCAGTTCAGTTAGCTTGCACCGTCCTGGTAACGTCTCAGGTCCTAGCACTCGCTTAGTCCTTCCATCTTCAGGATAGATCCTCCATACACCGTCTTCGGGTTCGGCTCCAACATCACGTCCTTCACGTGGTTCATCTAGCGCACCTAGATGAGATGCAAGATGCATGTGTATGAATGTGATGAATGGTAACACAAGATGCATCACATAAACATTCAAGACAAACCAGTTATTCACGGCAATCACAGAGTCAAGGCTGCAAACAGTAGCAGCTAATTTTTACTCATAACAGGAGTTGTACTAATCCAAAAGACATGCAACAAGACAATCTAGAAAGCTTATGAAATTTTCTACAATTCATCTTTAATTATCTTAGCATGATTCTCAAGTTAACTAAGTCAAATATACCCATTTACAGAAACTGGTCCACCATTGACAGAAAGCAGTCATTTCTGAAACCCAACTTTAAACAGGCATAACTCACAAACCACAAGGCCAAATACCACCAAATTTTAAAAGAAACTAGATACATGAATTATCTACAACTTTGTTATTATCACCAAAAGCTCATTAAAATCCTAACTAGATCAAACACTAGCATCTTTCAGATCTACACAGAATACAATCAAAACCTGATAGAAGACTTAAAAGTCATGTAACTCCTACACTATCAGGACTATGGCCTTACAAACTGAATACAAGCAAGATCATGAAATTTGCTACAACATTTGTATAAACAAGTTTCACAACAAAGCACATTATCACGAAGAACTTTGCTAAGTTCCTAAATCTGTCCATAAACCACATTTGCAAGAAAATAAATATTAACTTATGTTGCAAACACATAATTGGGCAAAACCAACTTTACCAAAATGTCACACATGACTAAAGAACACCAGAAAACCTAGTGTCCATGACCAAATAAATTCTTTTAATGCATTTCTTAATTTATTTTAGATAACAAGGTGACTTAATGAACATATACCAAAAGTGCACAATAACTTCTACAAAAATTACAGTGGCTCACATATACTCTCAATAGTTTAATGTACAAATTTTACTCCATTTGAATATATATAGCAACCTCTATGAAAAGGACAAGTTGCTAAAGCAAGAAATCATGTGAGAGCAAGATAAACCAATAACCCACTCATGCAGCAACCAATGACCATGAAATTTTTACCACACATCAAACATCACATGAGTAGCATGCCACAAAAATTTCACTTCATTTGGAGCCCTATAACTGCAGTTATGAAAAAGACAAATACAACTAGAATTGAAAACCTAGATGCATAAATCCATTTTCACAGCTACAACTTTAAACTAAAACCTGAAATATTATAGATCTACTGCATAGAAAATTTCACAAGGATTCCAAAAAGTCCTTATTTACTATTTTACGAATTTCCTATGATTTATTATGATTTTCCAAACTTTCAGCCGATTTAAAACAAATAGGTCCCTAGGAGCACTATTCATATGAGTCTATAACATTGCAGATAGGACCCTCCCTTTCTCCTAATTGTTGCGCGAAGCCCTCCACGTGAATCAAAGCAGAGGAGACCATTGGAGGCTCGCGGTGCCGGCCAGAGGAGGCCATGCCGGCGTCCGCGGAGTCGCGGTGAAGCATCCCTATTGCTGGGAGCACTCTAGGGAGGGGACAGCTCCACCGGAAGCTGCCCCAAGGGGCTCACCCACATGCACGCATGGCGATGGCGGCTGCGGTCGACGTGGGTGCGGCTTCGGCCACCATGGGCCCGGAGAGTGCGCACAGGAGGAGGAACAAGGTG